GCTCTGTAGAGCCATCTAAAAAGGAGTCAGCGAAAAACTTTCAGAATCACATATTTACTCTAATAGTGGGCAGAGAAGTGTCCACATTCAACATTTGTAACTTCCCCAAGTTTGTAATTTTGTCGCTTAGGAGTTGTTTCACTGGTGTGATCAGCAGTTTAAAAACAAAACAAAACAAAACATAAGACTTTGTCCTTATAAAGAACAGTGAGTCAGCTGGGAGATTTTGGAAGTGGCCTCTTGTTACCCTGCTGGACAGGCCCAAAATCGAGGGGGTGTGAGTAGGAACAGAGATGCATGGAAGAGAGGAAATGGGAATCCATTACGGTGACTAACATTTACTAGCCAGTAATTATGCACTAGGCATTTTTTTCTCACGCATTTCCTCACCTAATAGCCCTGTGAAATAAGCACTACTATTATTTCAATTTCATATTTTCAGGCCTTTCCCACTCCCCAATAGCGGACTAGAAAGAAAGGGTTTGGGGTGTGACTGAGGCAGTGAAAGTGAGCCTGAGACATAATCAACAGAGGACTTAATCCCAGGCCACCTGGTTGTATTTAGGAAGTGACATAGTCACTCGGCTCTACCCACCTGGCCTCAGAGTCCCTACCCCATCGAGACTGAGTCTTTAGGGGGCAATTTGGAACCATTTCACAAATTCCTGCTGCCAAGCAAAAATGAGTTGATCCTCAGGCTAGAAGGAATGATTTCAACTCCTAGATACCTGGAGGAATAAGAGTCTGTATTCCCCTAACAGACTCCCCTTAGCTGCAGGAAGAACCTGGGAGGGCTTTTACTGTTGGTGCTATTATTATCTGTGTCAAGAGCTGTGTGACCTTGGAAAAATCACCCCACATCTCTGAACTCCATTCTAGGCGGCCATAGAGTCAAGGTGAGAAACTGCCTTCTGGGTAATGCTAATTTTAGGGGATAGGCATTTTGACAAGATCCTCTTTAAGAGTTTAAACCCTCAATCCATGAAGGAAGCCTCACCATCCAAAAATCATGTGAAGAAATGAAGAGGGAATTGGGGATATTTAGCCTGAGAAAGAAAACCCCACAGAGACATGCAGGCCCTGTGAAATGGGTTAAAAGCTCTTTCAGGTAAACGAAGAAGTAATCTTTTTCTACAAAAGCCTCCACGGGGACATCAGGGGAAGCAGAATAGCACGGTGCTAGAGTGGAATCAGGGTGGCGCAGACGTGGGCTGAATCCAGGCCTGTCATTCCCCGGGCACGTTATATAACCTTCATGAGCTCTTGAGTGGATGTGATAGTGGAATCTATACTGTGGGCTTTGGGGAAAATCACATGTGGTTATGCATGCAAGTGGATAGTGTTAAAACAATGAAAGGCATGCATGGGTGTAAGCTTGTCTAAAAACTCTCTGACCCTGTTGTTGTTTTAATGTGTAAAATGCAGGTGATATCTGAACCTGACTGGAGGTCATTGTGAGATTTTAGTAAGAAAATGCATGTTAAAAACCTAACACATTGCTAAGCACCTAACACAGTGCTAAGTCCTTAGTAGATGGTAATTCTTATTATAAGTGTTTTGTTACCAAAACCAGGGGGAAGAGAGAATGGTAAATGGAAGAGCATGACCTTTTAATTGAGACTGGAAAACAATCAGGAATGTTACAGAAGGTAAAACCTCAGGTGAACTTTTGTTCCCAATTCAGTGTAAAGTAGTCCGAGATTTAAATGGAATAAATGATAACATTTTGACAACTCCTTGCCCACCCTTCATCACTTTTCTGCCTGCTACCTTCTCTTCTGATAGAAAACAGCCCCACCCTAGCCCTGTCCCACGGACAGAGGAGGTTTGAATCCCTGAGACCTAGTTTCCCTCAAGTCATGAACATCGAGCCCAGGTTTTCTGTCTTCCCCCCGCCTGAGGCAGCGCATGCCAAGCTTTTCCACATGAGATCGCTTGCATTTCACCCTGATTTATAGCCTTCCTTCAAAACCCGTGCCCCTTCCACTCACTCTTGTCTGTCCCCCCCAGTCCTATCTGCTGAGCCTCTGTGAGTGATGTGACATTGCCTCCTTCAGCGACTTACAGGATGGCCGCTTTCTGGTTAATAAACATACAGAAAGACACCCAAACTCTCTGTTAATCGGGTCAACAAGATGACATTCTCTCCTCAGGAGGCTGAAAACATTGAACAAATGGCCCTATCAAGTGCAGGAAGGGTATGGGAAAGCACAGAGTCCGTGGGCAGGGAAACAAATTGGCACAGCCTTTCCAGAGGACAATTTTGTAATTGCTGTTAAACGTGAAAGTGCGCATCTCTTCTGGCCTGGCGCTCCTCCGTGGTCACCGCCCTGGCCAGAGAAGAACCTGCCTAAGCGCTCGGGCCACTCACTGCAGACGCTGCTCAAGGATGAATCACTGGAGCAAGCAGGATGCCTGCACGGGGCGGCGGGTACTGCAGGGATCCAGAGTGGGAAATACTGTACAGCAATTTTTAAAAATATGTCTTGCCCGGCCGGGCCTGGCTCAGCGGTGAGCGTCGACCTAGGATCCAGGCGATCAGGGTTCGATTCCCGGTCAGGGCACATGCCCGGTTGCGGGCTTGATCAATGACTCTCTCATCATTGATGTTTCTATCTCTCTCTCTCTCCCTTCCTCTCTCTGAAGTCAATAAAGATGTCTTTATTGACTTCAGAGAGAGGAAGGGAGAGAGAGAAAGAGAGAGAGAGAGAGAGACATCAGTGATGAGAGAGTCATTGACCGGCTGCCTCCTGCACGCCTCCTGCTGGGGACAGAGCCCGCAACCCGGGCATGTGCCCTGACTGGTAATCGAACTACTATCTCCTGGATCCTAGGTGGATGCTCAACCGCTGAGCCTCGCCGGCCGGGCTACACAGCTATTTAACATAATGATGCAGATCTACGTGGACTGAGGGGAAAAGCTGTCTCATATATATAATGTGAGGTGCAGGAAATAAAATGCAGAAAGCCGCACGCAGTGTGATAGCCTTTAAAAATAACCACACACAAATCGAATTGTGTGTTTCCCTACACACCCTTAAGGGAACAGAAAAAGATCTAGAATGATCGTCTTCAAGTAATAGCAGCGATGACCTCAGAGGAGGGGCTGGAATTAAAGAGGGGGAGTCAAAGAAAACTTTATCTCTACCTTATTTTTTATGTATCCGCCACAAAACAAAAGGCATTGGTATAATATTTATGTAAGATAAAGTAAGTTAGCAGTATTTTGAGCAATGACAGGGTGGGCCTCCTCTGAGCGCTCCTGGCTCCCAGAGGCGGCTGAGGAAGGGGTTCGGAAATGAGGTGGAAGGGGGAAGGAGCCCGCTCTGGAGCTTCTAGCGTGTTTCGCTTTCACCCCAGCCTGCGCGAGGGTGTAGGATGTGACCCCGGTGAAACCAAAATAGCTCCATCCCAAGACGAGCAGGCGGACGGCAGCCTGTTCCCACGGCCAGAGACGGAACCCTCAGAGCACAGCCCCCCACCCCCGGCTGAGAAAAACCACTGAGCCCCTCGTTTCCCACGTCCATGTCTGGGAGTCGGCTGGAGGGCCCACGGCTTTCAAAGAGAAAACGAATTTAGGCAAGGGCTTATCCTTCTATTTTGGGTGTTCCTCTGTCCTCTGAACTGACTTCTGTCATTGAAAAAATGAAGAGCTGAGGTTTACTGCGCGTTTGGTACATGCCACGCACGGTACGAAGTGGTCTACATGCATTTCTCATTTAACCCTCAGAAAAAAGAAAGGTGTTATTGTTATTATTCCCATTTTACCAATGAAGAAGCCAAGGCCCAGAGAGATTAAATAAATTTCCCAAAGTCACACAGCAGGTAAGAGGCAGGCCTTGAACCCAGGCGGGTGACCGCGGAGCGCGCACAGGAGCCACTCTACCTCCTGCCCCCTCCTCCTTCCCTCGCTCCCTCTTTCCCTCTCCCTTTAGCTCTTCTTCACAGGAGTGAGTGAGCCACAAATGCTGCCTGGACGTCAGTTTGTCCCAGGCGGACTGCATGGCACACAGGGTCCAAAGTCGTCTCTACCCATCTGACACTCCATTCACTGTTTCCTTTCTCTCGATCGAAGGCTAAGGAAAGAAAAGCGAGCTGTGCCCACGTACCTTTGGGTGTGAGTAGGGTAGTGTTTCCAGAAGTCACCTCAGAGAGAAAGAGCGTTTCGGACTCTGGAAGAGAGAAAAAGTTTGCTAAAGGGCCGCAAAGAAAATAAGTGTTTGTGCTGAGTGGTGAGATTTAGGGCTATTTTTTTATTGTTGTCTTTGTGCTTTTCTATATATTTCTGATTTTCTTCAAGGATTGCAAGTAATTTTTGGATTCTAGGAGAAAAAAAATACAAATGTGTCTTAAGATGATTATTTTAAAGGCCAATGGGATAAAAAATACATATAAAATGGATTGGTTTAGTGTTCATGGACTTTAGGTGACTATTCAGAGTATAATAAAATTAGCCAATTGAATATTGTAAAGCTATTTAAATGATCTAGGCCTTATTGGGGCAGCAAAAATACCTAAGAAAACCTTCAAGCTATCTCATGATTGCTTTCTAATAATCTTATCCTCAGAATCAGAGGTTGAAGTGTGGCAGGGGCTCAGATAAGCCCCTGTTAGTAACTCAGTGAGAGGTCCAACATGCTGGATCAAGAAGGATTCAGGAGAAACAAAAACAAAGAAGAAAAAAGATTGTGGGTAGAACCAGTTCACCATCAAAAAATATTTTAAGGCATCTGGAGGCCTTTCCTCAACCATTCTCTAATGCCCAGACAGAGACGTAACCCCTGGCAGATGGAACTGGGGCCTAACCTGAGGTGAGATTTTCTGGTTCTTTAATAAACATCTCCAAGATTCCTGGGAGGTCAACAGGAGGACATCGGTTTGTCCCAGGCGGACTGCATGGCACACAGGGTCCAAAAGTCATCTCTACCCATCTGACACTCCATTCACTGTTTCCTTTCTCTCAATCGAAGGCTAAGGAAAGAAAAGCAAGCTGTGCCCACATACCTTTGGGTGTGAGTAGGGTAGTGTTTCCAGAAGTCACCTCAGAGAGAAGGAGCGTTTCTGACTCTGGAAGAGAGAAAAAGTTTGCTAAAGGGCAGCAAAGAAAATAAGTGTTTGTGCTGAGTGGTGAGATTTAGGGCTATTTTTTATTGTTGTCTTTGTGCCAAAAAAGCTAACTTTTCAAAAACATAGAAAAAAAGAGTAGGGGAAAAAAGAGAAACAGTTTAGTGAAAATACACACACACACACACACATATATACACTGTTATGGACTGAATTGTGTCCCACCCCTCAAATTTATATGTTGAAGCCCTAACCCCCAATAGTTCAGAATGTTTGGAGATAGAGCCTTTAAAGAGGTGATTAAGGTAAAATGAGGTCATTAGGATGGGCCATAATCCAACATGACCGGTATCCTTATAAAAGGAGGAGATTAGGACGCAGACACACACAGGAAAATGGCCATGTTAAGACATAGTGAGAAAAATGCCCATCTATAAGCCCAGGAGAAAGGCCTCAGAAGAAATCAACCCTGCTGACACCTTGAGCTCAGACTTCTAGCCTCCAGAATGATAAAAAAATAAACTTCTGCCCTGGCTGGTCTGGCTCAGTTGGTGGAGCATCAGCTCATGCACCAAGAGGTCCCTGGTTTGATTCCCGGTCAGGGCACATGCCTACGTGGGCTCAGTCCCCAGTGGGAGGCATGCAGGAGACAGCTGATCGAAGTTTCTCTCTCTCTCTCTCCCTTTCCCTTCCTCTCTCTCTAAAATCAATTAAAACATATTTTAAAAATTAACTTTTGTTGTTTAAGCCACCTGGTTTGTGGCATTTGTTATGATAGTCCTGGAAAACTAACACATTAACACATACTCACACACACACACACACACACACACACACACACACACACGAGCAAGTCTCTGGGCTGCTCATTCAGCAGAAGAACCCCGTTCCAAGGGACCCAATGTGCATCTGACCAGCAGAAGGGAAAGCGTGGCCAACTGTATCACCTACCTGCAGTGAGGGTGGACCCTTCCGTGGAAGGCTCAGTGGTCGGAAGCACTGTGGTTGTCTCAGGAAGGGCGCCTGGTGTTGTCAGAGGGCATGTGGTTGCCACTGTGGCGAGGGCAGTGGTTGTTCTTGCCTGAAGTGTTCTGGTTGCGAGGTCAGGTGTAGTCACGGCTGTTGTTGGAAGCGCAGCTGTGGTGGTTGTCATAGCAGTGGTG